TGCTTCTTTGGCAACTTAAAAAATTGTGTGGCAATAAAATGCAGTTCTCCCAGTTTTTTTTTTTTTGGTATTGCACTGATTTATTAGACCCAAATGTGGAAAAATACACGCTAAATAGTAAGTGATTACCAACCTATTTGGAACAAATCTCAATTAATTCACATACACTTCGGGGAGAAGACTTAGCAAAATCTTACTTTTCATTCTTCACAGCTCTCTCCATAAAAATTTTCCATAAGCATATCAAATTAATCATAACAACTACTGTTAAGTGACTAATGAAACACTTCTTTATAACCTCTGACAATTTGACAGGAATGAATTTAATAATAGCAGTAAATACAGTTGGGACTACATAAATTGAAGATGTTCTGATGCAAAACTCTTCCCATATTTGATGGCATCTCAGCTTTCTCATCTGAAATGAACCAAGAAATTAGTTATAATGATATTATAGCACTCAGAAAAAAATTCAAAACAAAATCTATACTCTCTGACAGAATGCCCCTTGCTCCCATTTACATATGCTGGAGGCAATAGACTGAAGGCAGCTCCAAAGAGAAGGCAGCATTTAGGATGAATGTGGCTCCTGACCTCGTTGTGAAGGAGGATGAAGCAGTGGCATCCCCCAGGGCAGGCTCTTTCAGTCATTTACACTGTGTGGCAATAAAATGCAGTTGCACAAGCATTCGGCAAACTTGCTTAAGGAAAGAGTAGGCTTAGGACCAAAGGGGTTCTCAGTTCTAGGCAACCTTCCAACCTGTCTTCCTTTGAAGTGGAGTCAGAGTTTCCTCCACTTTCTATTCTCCTCTGAACCCCTTCACCTTCTAGCACTTCCCATCTCCGGAAGAGTTTGCCTGGAATGAGCTTTACGATGTACACCGCTGCTACCCATCTGCTTATGGAAAATCATTGGCCCCAGTCTACAGTACTTACAGAGATGTTCCCCTGTTAGGCTCTTCATGCTTTATACAGAGCTAAAAACAAACACAACAAGGGCAATGAGTTTGCCTGCTTTTCTAAGGTCCATGGATAAACATTTTGAATGCATCAAAGTGGCTCAGGGACAGGTGCTATGGAAACATACCCGCCTCTGCACTAGCTCAGGACTCATTTTTTGGGCTACATTAATAGCTTTTATTGAACTTAGAGAAGATATAACTCTTAATCAGGATGCTTCCAGGATTCTTAGATACCTGGGCATTTCTTTTCTTTCTTTCTTTTCTTTTTAGAGACAAGGTCTCAGTATGTTGCCCAGACTAGTCTCAAACTCCTGGGCTCAAGGAATCCTCTGCCTCAGCCTCTTGAGTAGCTGGGAATTCAGGCGGGCACCACTACACTGGAATTTTTTTTTTTTTTTTTTTTTTTGAGACAGAGTCTCACTCTGTTGTCCGGGCTAGAGTGAGTGCCGTGGCGTCAGCCTAGCTCACAGCAACCTCACACTCCTGGGCTCAAGTGATCCTACTTCCCCAGCCTCCCGAGTAGCTGGGACTACAGGCACGCGCCACCATGCCCGGCTAATTTTTTCTATATATTTTTAGTTGGCCGATTAATTTCTTTCTAATTTTCGTAGAGGCGGGGTCTCGCTCTTGCTCAGGCTGGTCTCGAACTCCTGAGCTCAGACAATCCATCCACCTCGGCCTCCCAGAGAGCTAGGATTACAGGCGTGAGCCACCGCGCCCGGCCTGGAATTTTTTTAATATAGGAAAAATTGCTTTGGATTGTAATAGGGAGTAGGGTGAATTTCTTCTTGGGAGACACTGTTGCCCAATTATTATGTGTTTCAAGGACAATGCCCTTGCTGAATGATGAACTCAGCCTCGGGCATATTGGCCTTTACTGGAAGGCTGTCTGCCATATTTGTCCTCCTTTGGCACTGGATTAACTGGTGGAGTCAAATGCATGGCATTAATTTGTGCATACACATACTCTGAATCATGCTAACCAACGAGGTTAACTACTCAACAATTCAAACCCCAGCCCACTGCAGCCGGGGCATGTGACTATACTCCAGAGGTGAGCAGCAAGTGCCATCTTTTTAATGCAGATCTCTGAATCCAGAGCAGATGTTCCTGTCTGTTTGTTTATTATACCACAGGCGGCACCATAGCAACAATGAAGGGAAATTTAAAAGCAAGAAAAATCAGCCCCAAATCCCTTACCCCTAATACTACAGCTACTTTCATTCAGGCCTTGCCTATGTGCATTTCTGTGCTTTGTAAAGCTGTACTCATAATATACATACAGTTTTTACTCCTTGAGCAAGTTTATTTTAGATCTCACAGTAGAAAGGTCAGATTCAACTTTGTGCCAAAGTGATTCCTAACTCAAGTCACTTATGTAGCCAGTTTTCTGCCTTTATTTAGATGACTTTTTACCTAAATAGCTTAGAATGCTTAGATACCTTCATTATTCTTTTTCTTCTAGCAACCAGGCCAAAGCACAACGTTAGAAAGACCACAACACATGCAGCAATAATGGCTTCTGTTGGTACAGCCACAGGTTTTTCTGTAGGAAATGCAAACACAGGGAAGAAGAATGAACATTTATGTGTTTCCAATCTGTCCCAGCCATGATGCTTTGCGCTTTACATATATCATCCTCTTAATTAAATCCTCCCAACTACCCAAAAAGGTTGTCACCATTTTATAGGTGAGGAACCAAGGCTTTGAGATGTTAGGTTAATTGTCCAATATCACAGAACTAGTAAGTGCAGAGACAGGTTTTGAATCCATTCCTTTATGGAAGAATAATTTATTGTAGTATGAATAACTCCCCCCAAAACAAGTAGACCATTTTGCACTTTCTTCATCTACAATTTTTGCCATACAGAAAGTAGAAGTAGATTGAAGTCAATGGTTTTTCCTGCCTTTTGAAAAGTCCAAAAGATATTGGGAGGTATTCCAGAGAGGGAAAGAGAAGGAGGAAGGCTTTGAGAGCAAGAAGAGAAAAGCAGAGAGCCTTGTGAACCAAAGGGGAGAAAGATAGAAAAAAATTTATTGGCTCCAAGGTATGAAAAGAATAATTAATCAAAATTAATAAATGTTTAAACATCTAGTTAATCTTTTGTTAACTATAACCCAAGTGTTAAATAATGTTTAAACCTCAAGAACAAAATTAATCACTTAATCACAAAATTCAAAATCTATGCCCGTTAAAAAAATCCTTTCAAAATTTTTACAGCAAAAAGTATACATAATGTGCTTTGTTTCAATATGTTTGCTATAATATAGGATGGAACTCTCAAAAGTAAAAATGCTTAAAACAAAGGTTTTTAAAATGACTTTGTCTAAGCCCCTGGATTCTGATGCCACCTACTGAGAAGGGGTTCCAATCATGGTTTAGATAAAATTTTAGGAATTTAAAGGAAACAGTGTGCTATTTATTGTACAATTGAGTTTATGAATGGAGGTGTGGTCAACGAATACTTACTGAGTAACCTAATGTGTATTAGGTGCTGTGCTCAGCTCTGCAAAAAATAGGACAGACATGGAGGCTCCTCTGCTTTCATGGAGCTCATACTCTAGCGGGGGAGACCGACATTAAACAAACAAAGACTACAGATTGAGATGAGAATTATAAAGGAAACAGGGTCATGAGATGGCATATGAGGGGTACAAGCCAGACAGGAGGGGAAGAAGTGTCTTTAGATACATCTGATTTCAAAGCCTAATTCCTATATACCTCAAGATTATGAAATAGGATTTATCGCCCCCATAACTATGTAATACACTAACCAATTACTTTTTAATCATTTTCTTCCCTACGATTTGTCCAGCTCAGGATAATTTGGGGGAGTAAGTTGATTAAACTTTTGCCGTCTCTTGGCTGTTCCTAAAAATTATTCTCATGAAGGTCACACCAGCCCTCCAGAGAAACTTTGCTCAATGGGCCTTCTTCTGGTAAGCCCTGGGTCCGTAATAGCCAGCTCTGGGACGCACCTAAACGACTGTCACCTTACTGGGGAACCCCTCCACTTGCATGCCAAGCAAAGATGTCAAAATGAAGGGGAAGTGAAAGTGGGATGATTAGGGGGAAAAAACACCAGAATTCAGTCACAGTTTGGAATATTTTTACTAAGACAAATAAAATGAAACTACGTGTGACAGCTTTCATTCCATACACAAGCTGAAAGGAAGAAATTGCCTGACCCACTGGCTCGCTTTGGATTCCAAGTTTCTGTTCAAAGTGACTTTGGCAAGTGTAACTACGTAATTGTACTTCCCCCCTTGTCCTGTTTTATGCTCTCATTTGTAACCATACCTGATATTCCACCCACCCCCTTTCATTATTATAAAATAATTCCAACACGTGTGCTAAATCGTGTGCTCAAGAAAAGATCCGTGATGTCATTTCCAGCTTTGCATGGCCGCATTTAGGAACTAGCCCGCTGAGCAGTGAATTCAGGAGAGGCTCATGAAACACTCAGCATTTAGCCTGAGCACCAGCAGCGGAGAGCTTATGTTACAAAGGCAGCCACCACCCAGAGAAGTAACAAAGCAAGAAGAAATAAGAAAAACAAGTTGGTTTGGAAGAGCTCCACCCAAAACAAATTTCTGCCCACCTGAAAGCCAATTTGCCAAACTAGCATCCCAATTGCCACACAAGCTGTATGGTTTTTTTTGTTTTTTTATGTGACATGGAGCAATTAGGATGTCTTCTTAACCAAGAGGGATGATATAATTCCCTATTCTCCAAGTGTGGTCTTCACAACCAGTTAGTACAGCGGCATGGCATGAGGCCCATCCTACCATGCTTTTGTAGTCCTGGGGGAGGTGAATAGCCACAAGCTATGGGTACTTAGGATATTTGTGGGTTTGGTTTTCAAAGCTAGCAGCCCCTGGGCATACTGTCACTGCTCTGCAGGAAAAATTATTGAACATGCCAGGAATCACAGTGATGGGCATTCAACCATCAGCAGCTCTTCCTCTCCACCAGCTAATCTGCTCATATTCCAGACCCCCCCCACCCCGGGGGGAGGAAATAAGATGTCTTATGGTTACGTCCATCCAACATTTCTGGCAGGGGTTCAGTTGGCTGCCTGGGGCCTGGCAAGAATGGCAGTGAGTAGGTACAGGGAAGGAAATGACAAAGTGAATAATGTTCTAACAAGATATAGGATCCTTGGCTTGCTGGGCTGATCCTCACATACTGGCTCAAGACCAGGAAATGTGTGTGTGAGCATTTTCAGCATCTGCTACACCAGGTATCTCGCCTTTCTCTTTTTGTGTGAGCAAGAAATATGAGGAAGGAAAAACACTCAGAGCTTCATTTGTTCTCTGTTACTGCAGAGATGGTGTAGTTACTGGGTAGATGAAGCATGAAGCCAAGAGAAAGAGCTTTTTTTTTTCCTCTCTCATATTTTTCAACTCTCTGTTCTGATAAGCCTACAGGTTAGCGTTTGAGTTAGGAGTGATTTTAGAGATCCATTTTCTTATCTAGCCAGCATTTTTCTCCTTTGTGTTTTTGGTTTTTTGCTTGTTTTTTTACTTCTCTTCTGTTTGTCACTAAGGCTGTGAACCTAGAAGTCCAGTTCCTACACACCATGTTGTCCAGAATTCATGGAAATATTCCTCCCTAAAAGCCAAGCAGAATGGTTTCCTACACTTGGTTCTAGAAAAGGATCTTTGCTCAAAAAGCAGTGTGCTATATGGAATGGGCATAATCCCCCTAAAAAGATAGACTAGAATTCTTAGTGGAAAATTCCTTGGACGGGAATAATTCTTCAAAGAAAATCCTAGCTACTAATCATAACTGTCATCATTCGTTGTCACCAAAAATATTTACTGAGTATCTAGTCTGAGTTTTGCACCATGCTGGATATTACTTAAAAAGAGAGTTACCTTTAACAATCAGGAGGAAGTCCTTGGTCTCTGTTTTCAGAGATGAACTTGCAATACAGCTGTAGGTTCCGTTGTCAGATATCCTGACTTTGGTAATTGACAGCTGAAAAGACTCACTTGTCTGTTGGATTTGGTGATAGTCTTTTTCTAAAGTCAGGACGTTACTGTCTTTGTACCACATCATTTGAGCCTGGGGATTGGATTTCACATTGCAAACCAAGTTCACGTCATTGCCTTCTGAAACTGTTTGGAAGTCATCTCCACTTAGGAGAGGAGGAACTGCAAGATCCAAGCATTTAGATTTAATTAGCAAATAAGCCGTGGCTCACTGTCAGTGTTCAAGGTCTTCCTTCAGTCTATCTCATGCAGGCATTTATGTATTTGAGACAAATTTTTGAGTACCTACTATGTGCCAATCACTGGGCTAGGAGCTGGGGATATCATACTATTAATAAATAACATATCCAGTTCCAAACCTTGTAGAACTTTTAATGTGGTGAAGACAAACCATGAAACAATATATGATTATGAACATAATATGATAATGAATCTGTACTAAGTAGACAATTTGTAACACTACCCAGGAGCATAAGCCTTGGGTCTTTGTTCTCTGAGTGTTAATAAACCAACCTGTGCTAGTGTTGTATAAAACAGTACAGTGTTAAGAAGGCAGGCATTGAAGTGAGTCCTAATTCCATCTATACCACTTGGAGACAGTTACTTAACTGCTAGGGCCTCAGTTTTCTCATCTAAAAAATGGGATAATACTACCTACCTCATGTGTTGCTGTGAAAATTAAATAAGATAATCCTTATAAAGAATTTACTATAGTGCTAGCTACTGTTATTATTATTGTGGTGGTGGTGGTTTTGAGGGTTACTCAGACCTTCTATTTTTGTACTTTATCTAACCAATGTCTTAGCCATATATTTACCAATGCATATTTGTGTCTCCTCAGTGATCCTCTAGAAATAATGTCCTTTTCCCAGAAGGCGTTCTAATCATGACAACTCTGGCATCTATGGAAGGTGGGTGAGTCCCTCTCTTCCCTCTGTGTAAGCAACTCCTTATTCCCTCCACAATAAGGGCAGTTGTAGACCCATAGACAAACACATTTATCTCCATGCCCCTTGCATTTTCTAGCAAAGATGCAGGAGAGTAACAAAATGGTTGAAGAGTGGGAACTAGGAAAATGGTAGAGGCGGACAAGGAGGAAAAAAGGAGCTTGTATTATTGCACACTGAATAATTAGACCCTGAGTAGGCTGTGCTATTAATAACTCTCTCGGAAGAATGACATTCTGTTGCTCTTTGGAATGAGCTTGAATTCTGTATCATATCCAACAAGAATGTAATATGGTATTCAGAGATGTAGGAAGTTGCTGGAATAGAGAACATAGTTGTCAAATAGAACAATTCCATTTGTGGACAGATCCTGTTAATTATTTCTTTTTATTTAACTATTTAAAATTAATTTAAGCATATCAGCTACATATGAATACCCTCTCTTTAAAAATTAGGACATTTCTGATAAAGCTAAGGTCCTCTTTGATTCCAACCTGGTCACTTCCTGGTTCCCCAGAGACACCCACTGCTATGAGTTTGGTGTAAATCCTTCTCGACCTTTTTTTAAAAGAAAGTTTTCTATACATATAGTGTTCCCATAGGGAATATATTGTATTATTTTAGGAGCATGGGAAGGATTTACATAAAAGACTTCATTTCTCTCAATAACCTACATGTTTTTGAGATACATCCACATTGAACCATAGAGATCTAGCTCATTGCTTGCAGAGTGCTATAGTATAATATATGGTTCTTTAATATTTTATATTTTGATGGACATTAGGTTGTTTTCATTAGAATGTTAATGCTACAATAAACACCCTTGTACATATCTCTTTATGTATATGTGTATGTATTTATCTACATGCATCTGGAAGGAGAAATTCTGAGTCATAGGATAGGCACACTTTAAATTTTGATAGATATTCCAAAGGAGGTGGTCTCAATTTATGCTTTCAGCAAAAATGGATGAGAAAACCTGTTTCTCCACATTCCCCCATACACAGTGTAATCTCAAGCTTCCATTTAGTTCTTGATCTGCTGTTTATAACAATAATAACACTGCCTTTGGATTGTACATAATGTCTTTGTCACTTTTTATGAGCTCATTTTGATTTATTATAACTACTTGATGAGCTTACGTCAGTTATTGTCACTATGAATCACCAATTGGCCATATATATATTAATATAGACACATATAGGTTGGTGCAAAAGTAATTGCAGTTTTAGCATTGTTGAAATTTGCCATTTGATATTGGAATAATTCTTAAATAAATGTGGTTATGTTATACATCATTTTGATGTGCATTTCTAACTTTATTTTTTTTTTTGCTAATGACATGACTTGCTGTTTATTTTTATTTTATTTAATTTTTTTACTTACTTTTTTTCCCTTAGCGCTCTTAGTTGGGAACTAGCTGTTTATTTAATATATATATAAGACTATGGAAATGATGTCAGACAAAAAGCAAATTGGAGCAATTTTCTTACTCGAGTTCAAAATGGGTTGTAAAGCAGCGGAGACAACTTGCAACATCAACAACGCATTTGACCCAGGAACTGCTAACGAACGTACAGTGCAGTGGTGGTTCAAGACGTTTTGCAAAGGAGAGGAGAGCCTTGAAGATGAGGAGCGCAGTGGCTGGCCATCGGAAGTTGACAACGATCAACTGAGAGCAATCATTGAAGCTGATCCTCTTACCACTACATGAGAAGTTGCTGAAGAACTCAATGTTGACCATTCTGTGGTTGTTTGGCATTTGAAGCAAATTGGAAAGGTGAAAAAGCTCAATAAGTGGCTGCCTCATGAGCTGACCAAAAATCAAAAAAGTCGTTGTTTTGAAGTGTCGTCTTCTCTTATAACACGCAACAACAACAAACCATTTCTTGATCGAATTGTGATGTGCAACGAAAAGTGGATTGTATACGACAAGCAGTGAGGACCAGCTCAGTGGTTGGATCGAGAAGAAGCTCCAAAGCACTTCTCAAACCCAAACTTGCACCAGAAAAAGGTCATGGTCATTATTTGGTGGTCTGCTGCCAGTCTGATCCACTACAGCTTTCTGAATCCCAGCGAAACCGTTACATCTGAGAAGTATGCTCAGCCCGATGTCTCACAACCAACGCTTCGAAAGTTGAACGAATTGGGCTACGGAGTTTTGCCTCACCCGCCATATTCACCTGACCTCTCGCCAACTGACTACCACTTCTTCAAGCATCTCGAAACTTTTTGCAGGGACGCTTCCACAACTAGCAGGATGCAGAAAATGCTTTCCAAGAGTTCGTTGAATCCTGAAGCACAGATTTTTTTACACTACAGGAATAAACAAACTTATTTCTTGATGCCAAAAAGGTATTGATTGTAATGGTTCCTATTATGATTAATAAAGATGTGTTTAAGCCTATTTATAATGATTTAAAATTCATGGTCTAAAACCGCAATTACTTTTGTACCAACCTTAATATATACACACACACATGTGCTTAGCAACAATGATATTTCGGAGGTTGTTATAAAGATGATTTTAAAAGTGGATTGAGGCTGGAAAACTGAAAACAATTTCTTTAAGTCATCAAATCACATTGTCAGCATTTCTGCCAGGTCTCCCTTAAGAAGGTTCCATGGAAAGAGGACCAGATTAGAAGCCTGGGCTTTTGCTAGAGGAAGAAATAAGCTCTGAGCCCTAGCATGTGGTGACAGCATCCTCAATAAAGATTAACTTCACTGGCTTTTCCATGCATTTTGGTTCTGTATCTCATGTTTAAAAGGGTAAGCTGGCCTGGCATGGTGGCTCACACCTGTAATCCCAGCACTTTGGGAGGCTGAGGTGAGAGGATCACTTGAGGCCAGGAGTTTGAAACCAGCCTGGGCAACATAGCAAGACCTCATCTCCACAACAAATTTAAAAAATTAGCCACGAATGGTGGTGCATGGCTGTAGTCTCAGCTACTTGGGAAGCTGAGGTGGTAAGATCGCTTGAACCCCGGAGTTCAAGGTTGCAGTGAGCTGTGATTGCACCACTGCACTAGCCTGGGCAACAGAGCGAGACCCTGTCTCTAAAGATAGATAGATAGATAGATAAACCAATAAAGCAAGCAAGCCTGGGGATTTGTGTTTTGGTCTCAAGTCCAGCTGTGATTTGAGCCCCTAGTCTAGGCCTCAGTTTCCTCATCTGTGATTTTATAAGGCTGGATTTACAAAACCTCCAAGGTACTCCGATAGCTTGTTTTGGAACATGTAAATGATTCACTCTAGAAACTCAAGCTGCAGTATGCCAGCATTTCCCAGAGTTGAGTTCCTCAGCATTTTCTTCACCCTTGTATCTCAGAAGCAATGGCATCAATTTTTTCACAAAAAAGTTGGCTGAGTTCATTGAGGTCAAATGGCTTTGACTTTTATTTCTAGGTTCCAAGTAAAAAATTTTGTCTACCAAATCATAACCACATCATCATCCTACACCACATCATCCCTCACCACACCATCCACACCTTTCTCGTGCAGAACCAACCTTCCACCCAGACAACCCTCATGATCACCTACATAGTATCATTTGACGGTCCCCTAACCCTATATAGTTCCACCAATGGGTTACCAATACCTGGAACCCAACCATCGAAAAGCTCCACCTTTTTGAATTTTTACATGATGTTAAAAGATCCCCAGTGAAAATCTTTCTAAGCTAGACACAAAGCTAGACACTATAAAGGAAATTTAAAATTTCAATATGAATAATAACTTAAAATTTTCAAAAATAAATAGGAGAAACACTTACAATCCAAAATTACAAAGGACTAATTTTCTTAGTTTACAAAGCCCTTATATGGATTAATGAGAAAAAGGCAAATAACCCAATAGAAAAATGAGTAAAAGACACAAGCAGGCATTTCACAGAAAAAAACCCATATGAATAGCCAATACATTTATGAAAAGGTGAACACCTCATTCTTAATTTAAAAAATGAAAATAAAATTTCAAATGAGGCTAGCAAGTTCTTCAGAGTTTGAGGATACTCAGTGCTCATGAAATTTCTTTCTTTCTTTTGGAGACAGAGTCTCGTTCTGTTGCCCCGGCTAGAGTGCAGTGGCATCATCATAGCTCACTGCAACCTCAAACTTCTGGGCTCAAGTGATCCTCCTGCCTCAGCCTTCCAAGTAGCTGGGACTACAGGCTCATGTCACCACGTCCGGCTAATTTTTGTATTTTTTATAGAGATGGGGTCTCACTCTTCCTCAGGTTGGTCTCAAACTCCTGAGCTCAGGCAATCCTCCCAACTTGGCCTCCCAGAGTGCTAGGATTATATGCATGAGCCACCATGCCCAGCCAAGACCTAGTTTTCAACTACCACTTAATGTCCTGCAGACATTACAGACTGACTAGCAGTTTCCTTTCCCCTTACTCACATGTAACATTCAGCATCACTGAAATGGACACAGTCTCATCCCTCTCCAGCCTACAGGTAAAGCTGACTCCATTGTCATCTTCACTGATGGAAGTGACACAGACAGAGCTGGAGTTGATTTTGTTTCCAGATTTCAAATCCACCTTGTCCTCTTCTCGATACCAGAGAAGTTCTTCCTCTCTGGTATGGTTTTCAACAGCACATGTCAGAGATTCTTGTAAGCCACGCTCGGTGTCCAGGGTATAGTTCTCAGTTTTACCATTCACAGTTAAAACAGAACCTGGGAGTATAGGGAGAAACTATTAAGATATGCAGAGTGAACAACCTAGATGTCCACCAACAGGGAATTGGTTAAATAAGTTACGTTATATCAGTATAACAAAATACACTCTCAACGATTAAAAGTAGTCATGTTGATCTATATGATTTTATGAAGAAAAAGATCCACAATGTATTATTAACTAAACAAAGAAAAAGGTTAAAATGGTGGTCACAAAATTTTGCTACAATTGGAATTACCTGGGGATCTTTTAAAAAATACTGATGCCTGGCTCTTATCCCCAAACATCTGATTAATTGATGTGAGTGCAATCTGGGAAGTGGGTTTTCTAAAAGCTCCCCAGGTGTTTCTGATGTGCAGTGAGGCTTGAGAATCACTGGGTTAGAAACCAGTATATACAGAGTGATTTTATATATATGTAGATATTTTTTTTCGTGGAGGAAAGACTTAGGAAAAAACTCTGTATCTATTGAATAAATACACACATACCAGATTTAATTTGTTTACTACATGGAGTTGGAAGTAGAAAAACAAAGAAGTGGAAGTGGAGAAATAAAAAGAAAGGACTATAGAAAAACAGAAAAAAAGATACAACATTAGGTGAAAAGGTAGAATATGAATTATATCTCTAATAATGACTACAAATGTATCAAGACTGAATATGCACATGGGGACAAACTGATTTGAAAACACTTTTCCGATTAGATGATAGGATTATGGACAACTTCGCTCTTGTATTTCTGATGTCTTCATATTGTTTTGGCAGCATAGCAAAATAAAAAAAAATGTTTAAATAGCTGGTGTTTGTTGGGTAGACAAGTTTTTGTGGGGTAGGTAATCAGGATATAAAGCAGTTCTTTTTTCAGTTCTGATTTTTAGAAATCCATTTATTGCATAGTAATATACCTAAATTTCAATTTTTATTTTCCTGGTTCAGAAGCAAATAACAAAAACTAAAAAAAAAAAGCTTTAGCTGCCACAAATCTGCAACCTAGGTAATATTTGTTACTATATTAACTTTTCTTTTAAAAAGCATAAACCACTGGTAAAGATAATGGGATTGTTGCCTAGTATTTTTAAAAAATCTAGAAGAATTACACCAAAACGTTGAGTGGTTATCTCTGGATAACGGGCCTTGGAGAGATTTTTGCTTTTCTTTCTTCTTTTATACATTGTCTAATTTATCTTACAATGACTTACGTATTACTTTTAAAACCAGGGAAGGGGGTGGGGAATTACTTCCAGGTGGAGGTGAGGAGCAAATGTAAGAAAGATTTTCATGTAAGTATTATGTTCAAATAAACAGAAGATTATTGGGAGTAAGATTAGTAATGAAATGCATTAAAATGTAGGAAAATTCTGGCTCTGGAGAAAATGGAATATTTCACCTTGTCTTGTAATATCTGAACCCTGAAAAAACAATATTTTTCCATTTGATTTTTTATTATGTTATGTGACTCCTATACTGTGAGCCATACCAACTGTATAGTCATTCCAATATGAAATTTAAGGATATATGCAATGCCCATTGATCTTTTTTTAATCTGAAATTTTTCTTTATCTAAAAAGAGGCCAAAAAGAATATTAACTTACTTGTCATCCCACGTGGCAGGAATAAAATTGCTAAAAGAAGAAATCTACATATTTGCATTGCACCGCTGTTCTTCCATGCCATCTTTAAAGAATTCAAGTCAAACCTATCGAGTGAAAAAGAGTCCAGTTGGTTTTGTACTTTGGTCTACAATGAGTTTATGAACCTTCTTCCTGTCTATTTGGCATTTAAAATAAATTCCCAGATGAATCATCCCAGCTAAAACGGTAATACTTCTAGTTTTTAATTAAACAATCCTGTTCTAAGTTCAAAGTATTTTTAGTATTAAGGAATTTTTTTAAGGCAACAAGAAGAAAACCACAAGGAAATGGGCTAAACTACATAGGGCAGCTTTAGGGTGCCTGGGGGTGATAAGATCAGTCTTTCCTAGAGAAACTGATAGAATGTCATTTTAACAGAAAAAGAGATGAAACTTGCTTCATTCTCAAATGGTCCCTGCTGAACAAAAGTTCAGCTTTAAAAGCCTCTATTGGGTCTTTTTTTTTTTTTTTGTAGAGATGAGTCTTGCTCTGTTGCCCTGGCTAGAGTGCAGTGGCATCATCAGAGTTCACTGCAACTTCAAACTCCCAGGCTCAGGCGATCCTCCTGCCTCACCCTCCCAAGTAGCTGGGACTACAGGTATCCACCACCCCATCCAGCTAATTTTTCCATTTTTTGTTGTAGAGATAGGGTCTTGCTGTGCTGCCCAAGCTGCTCTTTAACTCCCGGCCTCAAGTGATCCTCCCACCTTAGCCTCCCAAAGTACTGGGATTACAGGTGTGAGCCACCACACCTGCCCTATTGGGTCATTATTGTAAGGTCGTTCTCTGATAGTAGAGAGTTTTTGAGACTATTCCGAATCCCATATATCCAGATGGTGTGTACTTAGAAAAGACTCAATCGACACGTGGCTTCTAGTTTTAAACCAGGTTGACCTCTGCTTTCCCTACCCCTCTGCTTTCCCTACCCCTCTGCTTTCCCACCTACTCTCCCCTCCTAATACTCTTTCCCCTTGACCCAGTATAGATTAAAAATAATAAATAAATCATAAAGGCCTCTTTCTGCCTCCTTCTGTACTTTTGCTTCTGCCATCCCTCTCCCTGAGATAGTCTACCCTTCCATCTGGGAAAAACATATATCCATTACTTCCTTTCAAGAGGAGTGTTATGAATAGAGCAGAAACACGTACAGAATGCTTTCAATACAACAAGCACTGTGCTTAACAAGTTACAAACATTATTTCAACCACAAGCCCCACAACAACCTTCTTGAGGTAGTTTCTATAGATTTAGAGAGATTACATAATTTGCCCAAGATCCCATAGACAGTAAATGGCAGGGTCAGGATTCGAACGCAGGACTCCCAAGACCATGCTCATGACCACCCTACTGCCTGGATTAATATTCTCTTCCTTTAAGAAGCTACTGTTAATCTCTTTTGGTCGCTGGCCATTCTATAGACCTTAGCCACTTAGAGTTACGTCCCCTTAACACCAGTATTAATTTGGAAGAGCTGGAACACACCTATGCCTTCTTTGGGCCTGCTCTACTCCTTCCCTGTCCCAGACCTGTCCTGACAGGAGCTGTGTCATTCCTGCCAGGCTCACCCTTTCAGGCAGGCAAAGCCTGTGGCAATCTTTTAATAACATGTAATTGGTACTAATAATGATTGTTTTGTAATTTTAAATTTTTGCCAAAAAGATTTCTATCACAGTGTTGTAACAGTGATGATTTCAGAATTTATCGTTAATAGAATTTTCTCAAGTATTTTCCACTATAGGTGCTTGATAAAAGCAAGTGTGGGCTTCTTAGCAGACTTCACCTCACCCTATTGAGGGGGAGAACTGGTATCTTCTCTTTCCTTCCACTCCACCAAGACAGCAATTTTTCAAAACGAATTTCCCTCATTTGAGTTGTTTCTAATTTTTCTATCTCTTTCTATACAAGACAATCTTATCACTTACCTGCTGAGCTCCGAAAAGCTGACTTCCTTGGCCAACAATTCCTCTGTCTGGAAACCCTGAAACCTTTCCCCGTTACTCTCCTTTATAATGACTTGAATTTGAGCACTTTATGACAGTAGGGTCAAGTAAATAAGATAAATTGGGATCAAAGTCTGTTTCTCTTTATGGATTCTTAGAGAAGACAGTAATTGGGAAAGACATCTTCAGATCTAAGTTTTTATGTGTACCTAGGTTACTAGGTGGGGCCAGATATTGCTAAGAGGGAAGTATTGTTCCCAGAAAGCCTGAACTTGTGCACAAATTTGTAGCATATCTCACTAAACATTGTCATACTCAGTAAGATGACTGTGTTTTGACAATCTAGCAGCCTGGGGATTGTGACAGGACAAGACCAAAGAGAGGTTTGACTTTTACAGCAGTCAAAACACTGGAAAATTCCACACAACCTAAAAAATGCCAGAAATGCCTTACTCCCACTAGTAATCCAAGCCCAGTGTGTAAACTGTACCAAGCCAGGCATGATAGGGGACAGTTTTATCCACTTGAGGCTCTCACCTGATTGGAGAATCCTTGCATTACACTGTGTTTATGACATTGTTAACAATGCAGATGTTATCTGCCAAGTACTATTGTTCCCATTTATACAAAAATACAATAGAGTATTATTTACAGTTATCCACCCATTGGTTAAGCACACCAAAGAGCTGCCTCTTACCGTGTGACTTTGAAAAGTTATTTAACCACTATGAACCTCAGGTTCTATGGAAATAATAATAGTACCCTCCCTACAGAGTCACCGTGAGGATTAAATGAAATGAGGCACGTAGAGCTGCCACACAGTAACCTCTTAGTTAAGCAGTAGCTCTTAATACAGTTATTATTGATACAGGCTGGGCAGGGCATCCTAAATAAACACAGACTCACTACAGCATTGCTAATGTAAGAATCATAACTAAGAGCAGCTCCTGCTGGCTGGGTTGCAAGCATCACCTAAGCAGGTTTTGAGTTTGCTTCTCTATGGATCCAACAGCAATGTGTTTTACTATTAATATTATCACTTTTAAATAATAATGGACTGATGTCTTGGTTCTGGGTCCCTCTAAAGCGGACCCTGAGACAAAGCTTTGGGTGCAAGTAGTTTATTTAAAGGTAATCTCAGGAAGCACAATAAGGAAGTAAGAGAGGGAAGAGAGGAAAACTAACAAAGAAAGTGTTAATGAACATGTTATTAATATGGGCAACCATAGTAGATCCTTTGACAAGGGTGTGTTCTTGGGAACATACCTCAGCATCAACTCATGAAGGGGAAGGAAGCTTGGATATTTATCAACCAACTTCTCTCCAGCATCCACTGAGGGCCACTCTTGAAAGGTTGACTCTTTAGCACCTCCAGCCTGCCATGTCCATCGTGAACTCTCTCAAGCTGACCAAGAATGTCCAGGCAAGGATGCTCAGGAAGTCGCCTGTTATGTCGGAACTCTTTGCAGGTAATTTCTAGGTAGGCTAAGGGGATGTGGGCAGGGCACCAACAGCAATTTCTACAATTGGCTATTAGGTAATATTAGGAAATAATGGCTAATTATTCTTAGGTGTGATAATGGTGTTGCACTTATGTAGAATATGTCCTCATTGTCAGGAGATGCCTGCTGAAATATTTATAGATCAAGTGTCATGATGATCGCAACTAACTTTCAAATGATTCAGCAAAAATAAATAAACGCACAGCGAATATAGCAAATGTTAACATTTACTGAATCTAGATGGGGGTATATAGATCTTCATTGTACTATTCTTTCAACTTCTCTGTATGTTTGACATTTTATCTTACTAAAATGTTTGGAAATGTATTTAGCAGATACTTATTGAGAATCTACTATATGCCAAGTATTCTAAGTGTCAGGGATGCCAGTCCCATCCAAGCCAATATGGTGGCTTTGTAATGAAGTAGGAAAAGACAGCTTCTCGAATCACTCTACTGCCATCTGTGGACAATTACTGTAATAATTTTACAAAGCTATGATGTCTATAAGATGAATGGTGCTCCTTGATCTCCACAACAGTATGTGGGTACCCTGGGAGACCCATAGATGAGTAACACGATCTCTAGGCCTTCAAAGGTCTTAGATTCTAGAGAAGAAAGTTCATGGTGGTCCATGGCTGCATAGCGTGCCCTCAGTCCCCAGGTGAGATTTCAGAGAGGAAAAGTGGTATCATAGCGCCTCTTCTGGAGAGTCAAAGAAGTGATGTGACTCATCTAAGGTCATGTAAATCCCTGGGACATTCCTGTTTCCTAAAACTGACGGATGGGAGAAATCGTTTTTCCACAAGTAGTTAAGCCTGGTTGGTAGTCAACCAGTAAGCCTAAGTAGTTTGACTGATTAAAGTATTAAAAGAATTTAATACTCCACAGCTTCCATAAGTAGCTTAGACCCAGAGGGAGAGAAGAAAGGCAGCCTTGAGTCTGAAAATTCCTGGCAGCAGAGACCAATCTGCTTCGCATTCCCCAGGCCCAGGCACTTCTGGAAAGGCAACAGAAAAGGGAGTCCAGGAACTGGCAGCCATGACGGTGAGCATGACAATCACCTGGGGACTCTCCGGGGGCCTCTCCTCCATCAGTTCTGACGGGACTTGGGAATCTCACCTTTAACAAGCCTCCCAGGTGACTCTGGCACAGTGGTTTGTGAATCTTACTGTGAGAACCACAGCCTGTGTAACTAGGCATTGACGAGGGTGATGAAAAGAAAGCCCCTCAGCTAAGGGGAGGTGTCCAGCAGAGTGCAGGGTGGGCACTCAAGAAACAAGGAAGGAAGGGAGGAAGGAGGGAAGGAAGGAAGGAAAGGAGAGACAGGCAGGATGCCGGCTTGGAGAGAAATTAGAGATTCAAGCTGGGTGCTCCACCCCAGAAGGGGCTGTGTGCACAGGGCTGGCCTGTGGGAGACCGGACGCACCAGTGCGCAGGCCTCACACTACCTTCTATTGTATGGGAGTGAAGAAGAGGAGGGAGACAGGAGCGACCAGAACGCAGAAAGCCTGAGGGTCGGTGCAGTGACCGCTGGGCAGCACCATCCCACAGCCTCAATCCGCAGTGACCAAACTTGGTGTGACAGAGACAGCAACTCAG